GAAGGAGAGTGGCCAGCTGAGCAAGGGTTTGGCTCTGTCCTTGCTCAGTTAGGCTTACCAGATGTCCTGATTTTATAGCAGTGATTTGCAAACTTTTGTACTGGTGACCCCCTTTCACATAGCAAGCCTCTGAGTGCAGCCCGCCCTGATCAATTCAAATCACTTTAAAAAATATTTAGCGCCATTATAAATGCTGGAGGAAAAGCGGGGATTGTGGTAAAGGCTGACAGCTTGCAGCTCCCCTTCCACCCCCACCCCGATGTAATAACTTCATGCCCCCCAGAAGGGTTGTGACCCCCAGTTTGAGAGCCCCTGTGTTTGTCTTATCCCCTACCCGCTGTCCCAATTTTTCACACTTGCTCTCTAGTTGTCCTGTGCTCAAGGCTTTACCCTTTAAGCACTTACCTATGGCATGGGAATGGAGTACGGTTGCCAACCCTCCAGGATTGTGCTGGAGTCTCCAGGAATTAAGATTAATCTTTAATGAAAGAGTATGTCATGTGATGAATCCTCCAGGAATACATCCAACCACAACTGGCAACCCTAGAGTGGAGAGCTGCTTTTTAGCTACCCACCATCCTCTAAAACTCCACCTGACCAGCTAATTGACTAAAGCCCTGAGCTTGGGTCATACAGTGTGTGGCTCCCCAGCTGCAGGGCAGGACTGTTCCGCTTGGAGAGAGCGGCTTTAAGGCTTCATGATCACAGCCATCAGCAGCCTGGCTGCAGAGAGCTTCACGGCCAGCTTGAGTAGAAACCAGTCGTTTCTTGCACGGCTAGTTGTTCTGGGAATCTTCAAAAATTTCTGGCAGCCAGGTTTAGTTGTGCAACCTCTCAGCTGCCAGAACGGATAGAATATGATCATATCACATGAAATGCATGCAAGGTCTGCTATAGCAACTGTATTTCAAAGAGACAACACATATGGTGGCTGGTTCTTTTTGGAATATTATCTATAAGCTGAAGATGTTTTATTCAAAAAGGCTGTAGCTTGAAAGGTTAGGGATGTGCTGATTGTTTGATATATGTTTAAATAGAGGCTCCTGTGTGGGATTTTTTTTTGGGGGGGGGACTATAGAATATAATTACTGGGAACTAAAATGATCATTTGATTGCACATTTCTCTGGAATTATTCTTCTGCAGACCCAGTCTTAATATATAATAATATGTTGCACATGTACTGTATGGCATTTCTTGTCTGAGAAACCCAGAGCACTTTGCAAGTATTCATTAATTAAATAAGCTGCACAACACCCCATTAAATAGGTGAGGATTCTTTGTCCATCCCCATAAACCATGTGAGAATCTCTTTTCTGCTCTGTTTGAGGCAATTTAACAAGTAACCAGATTAATTACATAAAAATAGCTGGATGTGCAGGAATTAATTTTTAATATAATTTCAAAGCATTTTAAAATTTTACGTTTTCCAAGTTGCACAAAATTATGAGATATAAGCATTTTTCTGTATTGATTTACATTTTCACAGTTGTGGGAAATAATTGAGGGGTTAGATACTTATTTAAAGTCTGTAGGTGTTGGGATTCAAAAAGCTAAAGCTATCTGTTAAAAACACAAATTGTCAGCATCACAAGTCAAAATGCATAAATATCCCTAAATCAGTCTTTAATAAGTTCTCAAGCAGCGTTTTCTTTCTTTATCTATCTGTAAATTTTGATGATTTTTAATGGAAATATAATTTTCCATGTTTTGTGAGTATGGTGAAAATGACATTTTCCAACATTTACAGTTAAAATCTAATCTGTCCAAGCCTACAAATAATGTTTTGCCTTCCCTATACATAGCAAGTTCCACTGAAAGATCTCCCAGTCATTTTTGCTGGATTTTATTAATTCATGGCCAATAGAATCTTTCTCTATAGGCTAAACTACCAGAGTAGTTCCATGCACACACACATAACTACGAGTGCACACAATTTATTTGAAGATATGATTTGTGCACGTAGTTGGCAGCTTCTCACGCTCTTTCCCCCTTTAAGGATCACAGGACTCTGCTACACATGCACATCAAAATGCCATTTTTTCTGTGTGTGGCAGGTGCCCATAACTTTGAATGGCTATCCCTAAATCTGGAGTCTGGTTTTATGTTTATTTTTATCCCACCAATCTCGGCTGGAAATCACAGCCACCTTTGAAATTTTACGAATGTGACGAGGACTTGTTATTAAAGTGCATATTGAAAACAGTGATGTGAAAAGAAGGCAGGATATGGGGGAGGGTCTCCTCCATAGTGTACTGTCAATTCAAGCATTCAGCCAGGCTACAGCAAAACGCAGAGCATTCCAAGCACCTAATTCTGGAAGGGGCTGAGTGCTTTTCTAAAACCCAGTGTGCACCTTCCTCTTCCTCTGAAATCCAGGGAAAGGAGAGAGACAAAATCCTTAGCTGCACGCAATAAGCACTGGGTGCTGATGAATCTGAAGGAAAATATTTGTGCCAACCCTATCTTGACCCTTTTGTTCTGCCCCACTCCCAGCTTGATTCACTGCAGTGGTTTTCAAACTTTCTTTTCTTGCAACCCAGTTGACTAGAGTGCAGGCAAATGATGCTGTTTCCTTCCCTTACTTCTTGCAGGAGCAAGGGTACCGGCCGCCGACAGGCACCTTCTGAGTTTGATTTAGTGTCTCTTAACTAGTCCCGCTAAATCAAACTCTGGAAAAATCATTCACTGCAGTGTGGTTCTGTTTAGTGAAGACATGGCCTTTGACTTGGCCTACCCCGATGTGCATTGCCATGATGGCTGGGCCAAACCTGAGTGGCGCTGAGACCTTGGAGTTTGCAGTGCCTAGAGCAGGGAGGGGAGCATGGCCAGCTCCGGCGACAGGAGCTACAACATGACCCTTTGAAACATTCTGGCAACCCAATTTTGGGTCCAGACCCATGGATGGAGAAACCCTGGTTTAGAGCAACCCCACGGACTAATTCGCCAGAGATTGATTCCTGTAGTGCAGTGGTGCTACAAGCAGTGGTGATTCCTCACAGCATGAGCACTGGGGACAAGGAGGGAGAGATGTAAAAGCAGGCTTTACTGGCTGTTGGCCATCTGGAGGTTCTGTCCTTCCAGGGAATCCCATACGGGCCAGCTGCAATGACTGTCTCAGGCCCCTTTATGAGGTCAGGCTTTGGCCCTGAAGGTATGTGTTCAAAGGTTACAAAAGAACAAAATCTTGCTGTTTTGGGGCAGCATCCTGTGAGGTGCTATGCATCCCCACCAAGCCACTGAAGTCAATGGGTCCCTTCGCATGAAAATTTCTCCTCATCACCAGGCCTTTCCTGGCTGATCTAGGAAACAGGTTGTGCCTTTAAGATGTTATACTTAGAAAAAGCCATTCATAACGTATGCCAGTACTGAGACCCCCTAAACAAATGTAATTCCTCTATTGAAGGTGCATTAATTAAATGTCTCCAGGAGCATATGCAGTCAGAGTGTGGCAGTCACACTCCCTCCTTCCATACAGACATCTTGCACAGGGACCATTTTTCTTATTTTACATTAATGAAGTCTTCAGTCTGCCCACTTCTACACCTACACATGTACTGAACATCTCCAAGGAGACAGAGAAACCCTGAGTCCAGCAATGGTGAATCCTCCACTGAGCCAGCAGGCTACAGTCCCAGGCAATTCTTCGAGGCATCTTAATTTCCAGATGTCTCCCTGCAGACAGTCTTAGCCTGCCTGCAAGAGCCAGGAGACAATCTCCCATGGCCCTCTCCTTCACAGACAGTCTTTGTCTCCTGGCTCTTGCAGGCAGGCTATCTCCCATGGCCCTCTCCTTCGCATCTGAAATGCTGGTGAGTGCGCCAAGTGTTTGCAAATGAGCTTGGCAGAAGGATATTCTTCCCACTTTCCAGGGGTGCCAGTAGTGGGGAGAGCAGGAGAGGATAGCTGCCCTGGAACCCAGCGATTTAAAAGGGCCTGGGGTTCCTGGCCGACCATTACCATGGCAGCAGCAAGTGCCCCAGACCCTCTGAATCGCTGCCAGAACCCCAGAGTGGCGCATGCTTCATGATGTCGAAGGGCTGGCTGGGGGACATTCGACCCTAGCCCCTACTGTTTCCATCTGAGGCCCTTCCCATTCCAGGGCTTGGAGCTGGGCCACCCCAGACCCCACAACATCTGTCCTAAGCCCTGCCAGTGTGTGTCTCCTCTCTTTTATTCCCCCACCTCATCAAACAGGCTGTTCGCAGCTACCTGGCTCTAGTTCTGAGCCCCTTTCTTGCAATTGGGAGCGTATTTCCAACGCTACCCAATGCATGTCTCACTTCCCCCCCAGGAATCATGCCTCAGTCTTGAGTCCCCTCTTCAAGGCATGACTTTCTCTGGTTCCTCTTTACTCACCTCCCATTGAAGCTTGCTTATAGGCTCTGTTGTTGATGTGCCTCAATCTTGTCAGACTGTTTTTGGGACAAGGGTTACAGCATATTCTTCTTGGGCTGTTTTTCTCTTTCCTCTTCCACACTTACCTTTGCACAGCTAGAAGGGAGAATCCAGTTAACTGCTCTGCTTTGCTGTCGATACGCCAAACTGCAATGGCCCAGTTGGGGACAAAAAGACCATGAAGGCTGGTAATTCTTTATAGTAAGCCATTTGCCCAGCATCCAACATCAAAGCCAGTCTGATGGGATGTCTGGGCCTTTCCAGCTACCTAGAGTTAATTAAATCCACAGTGGTCACCATGGAAAAATCAGCAGTTACCCACAGTTACAACATAGTAGCAGTAAGTCTGCTATGTCCATATTTCCCTATGGTTAAAATGGGAGATAACTGGTACGTCCCATGACGTTGTATGTGAGTGCTCAGATTTTTAATAGAAAGCCACTGTATTGTGAGCACAAACATACCTCAGGATTTCTTTGGTGAGCGTCCTTCTGGGAGTTGATCAGTGTCTGATGTTCAAAAGGTGTCCTGATCAAATACTATGCATGCAGCTTCCCAAATTTTGCACAGTACAAACTCAATTTTTAAAATTCTTTTCTTCTAGGCTCTGCAGGTGGCCCGACAGTTTCTACTGCAGCAGCAGCAGCAAGTTAGTGGATTAAAGTCACCCAAGAGGAATGACAAGCAACCAGCCCTTCAGGTAAGAAAGGTGTGTGTGCGCGCACGCATGTGCAAATACATTACTAATTAAAGTTAAGGGACAATGTAGTGTATCAATTTAGGCTGAGATTTTCAAAGTTCTCTGCTTTGGCCTTAAAAGCTTCCAATTAATGTCATTGCCAAACTCCCGTTAGCTTCTGACGGAACGGTTAGGTCAATGCTGGGTGCTTTGAAAATCCTGCCCATAATGTAGGCTCCTTGACAACATATCTTTATTAGGAAGTGGTGGAGAAGGTTTATCACAAAAGAGAATGATTTTTGTTATACTAGTCTGTTATTGTGGTACAACTTGAACATTTGTATTCAAAGACTGTTCTGTTTATGTTCCATGTTCACTCAAACCATGGATTTGCTATATCAAGAGTACTGTGACTCCATTAGGACATCTTATCATTTTTTACTGTATTTTGGTATGTAGCGCTCCAAGAGGGGGTACATTATTTGCAGTTTCTCTAGGGATCCTAATCATTATTAAGCTTTGCAGTATTGTTACAAATTCAGAAGGCTAAAACCAATAGACCATCTCCAAATAAAAGGTATATAGATGCATTAATGTGTGAGGGTGTTTGGGGTTTTTTTTAGCTTACGAGTCAAGAGGGCTAAATTATGGGAGCTAGACATAAGAGAAACCAAATAGTTCATCTGGTTTAATGACAATTTAGGATTGTTACCTACATTACATTTCCTTTTATTTTTGCCAGTCTGGTATTTAGAAGCCTGAAGTAACAGTGGGATTTTCATCACTTTCCTTAAAATGCTGTTCCATAACATAACATGACAGTTGGGAAGTATTCCCTGGTTCCTAAACTGTCCTTTTCTTAATTTCATCCCATTTGTCTAAATTACAGTCCTTGTAGCACACTAAACAATTCCTTTTCCCTTTTCGTGTTCACGCTTTTCAGATGTGAAGATGTCATCATGTCCCCTACATAGCTGTCTCTGTGGTCCAACCGTACATATTTAATTCTTTAGCTTTAGTCTAACAAATCAGTCCTTCCAGACCCCTGATCATTTTTCTTATTTATTATTGATTATAGTTTTTATTACTCTTTTCTGAATTCTGGGTTCTTAATGTGTTTCTGTCGGTAAGGGGTTTCTGGCAAGAGTTCAGGTGCAGTCACATCAAAGTCCTACAGAGAGGGGCTATTTTCTCAGTGTTCTGTACTCTGATTTTTCTGCTTTTGTAGCTGAAAATTATATTGGTCTTTTTTTAGTTTTTTTGTTTGTTTGTTTCTGTTGCCATAGCGTACTGTCAAACTTGGGTCTGCGTTGCTCTCTCTATTTTTTTTAAAGTTGATGTTCTATCAACTCTAGTTCTCTGAGAGCATTAGTTCTTTCATTGCGTATATGTGATTCGGATTATTTTTCTTCCCCAAGCATAGATTCTTTTGTCTTTAAATTTGAAGTAAAATATGAAAAGCCAACATCATCATAGATCTTGAAAATAAATCGTATGGAACAAATGCTGCAGTCCTTATTCAAGTACAGCTCCCAGTAAATTCATTGAGAATTTTGTCTGAAGAAGCATTAAGTGTTAACTGAAAAATTTGGTGTGATAATGAGAACTTGTAGCATTTAAGTAGTGACTCTATCTTCAAAGCACTTTGCAAATATTAATCCCCAGAATGTCTCCAGGAAGCGTATCTAATAAGTAAATATCATTAACATAGTGTTGGATGGGGAAACTGAGGCAGACAGCTTGACTCACTTGCTTAGATTCAGAGAGGGAAATTATTTAGAAGTGGGATTAGGGCACATGCATTCCAGCCTCCTAACATTGTGCTTTGTCTGCCGGACAATATATCTACACTGTTATTCCTTTGGAAAATATGAATTGTTTTGTCAATGGGCAAATATACATTTTACTGCAAGTGTGGAGCACTTTAATCCAAACTGTTATATTAACACTTCCAAAAACACTGTATTTGGTAAATCCATAGCTGATCCATATGCCTTTTAATAGACTCTTCCACTGGGGACGTTTTTAATGAGATATTGTGCTGGCTAGGTCCAGTGTCAGGTAGTAAAAGAAGTGCTTTGTTGTGCAGATGTCTTAAGAATAGCTCCAGAGGATGAAATATGACTGTGTTGACCTTTCAGCTGTGAGCTTATTTGTCAGGATTCAAATAAGTTGAAAGGATCAAACCAAACAGTTTCCGTAGTCAGACTGGGAATTGTGTTGCAGAGGTCAACAGTGAAGGCCACATTGCAGATTCCATAACATAGCCAATTGTTGGTACATATTAAAGTACTGGAGCAGCTCCGGCAGTCAGAGACACAATTAAAATTCTAATTTATTAATGTATACAGAGAGCTGGCCCAGCCTGTCACTCACTGATTCAAATGACTGCCCATTCTTTTTTCCCCTCGTTCCTGGAGCTTTTGCAGTCTTAAACATACTACAAGTCTTCTTGCATATAACAGACCCGGAGTGCTTTGGTAAAATGAGAATGTATTATTTCAAAAAACAAAACACTCCCCCCCCACCCTAGAGCATTAGTTTGAGATTATTGAGAAAAACACACGCATATCATCTGCCTGATCACATTGCTCGAAATAGGACGCATAATTTCTGTCATACAGTTTACAAAATTGGCCTGGATAGTTTCCATCCCCCAAATATGCCCATTTTAGAAAGTTTATTTAAATAATGAATCAAGTTGCTTTGCACTTTGTAAATGACATAACTTTAATCCTTGTGGGTAGTTATGGTGTTTATGGGATGTTACTTGTTTTTGTCCATTACAGAATGTTCTTTTGCTCTGCTTTTTTACATGGTTGGCAAAGGCACTGCTGAAAAACTCTTTAATGGGTATTATCTAGGGCTCTATTTCTATTGAATGTGGGGGGAAGGGAAGAAGTTAATCTAGAATGTTGGTTCTGTTAATAAGATGCTTTGTGGCCCTGCCCACCCCTGAGTTCACCAGTTGACAGGCAGGGAGGTTAGGCAAGCTTGATAGGAATACTGAATGTAGTTCATACGCATACGATTTATGGTTGCTGCAGAATATTGCTAAGTGAAATCTCAGTCAGTCTCAGGCTCTCTAATTTAATACTGGCTGGGAGGCTTTGTCATGTAAACTGGACTGGCACAAACATATGTGGAAAATTAGTCTAGTACAGTGCTATGAAGTTAATTTGTTCTCACCTTGCTGAGAATAATTTCTCATATACCTTGTGATTCACTGATAAAATACCCATAGCATTTAAATACACTCTGGGATTCTATGTTCTCATTAGGACATCGTACCTTGAATAGTTTTCACGCAAAAGCATGTTATTAAACTGATCATTTTCAATATTTCTTGACCTCAATCACTACAGCCAGGGTTCGGTTTTAGGAAATTTTAAATGTTCCGTGTATGAGAACTTTGCTAGAGAAGGGGTGATGTGCTCTTCTGATAGCTTAAAAAATAAATCTCCAAATATTCTATGACTCATATTTTGAGCATATCTCACACTTTCTTGCCTTATATTTGGCAGTGACATCCAGTTTCACAGCCTGATGATACAAACAAAAGAAAATTGAAAGCTAAGGAATAGATTTAATAGCCAACAATTGACAGCAGGAGGGGGGAGTTAAAAACCACAAAAATTAGATGAGGAAGGGATAAAGATTAAAGCATATCTTACAAGTGCCATGGATGTTCATATTTCCTTTAATATATGAAACAATTATTTGAGCCATCCAGTTATGCGCAGAGCCGTGAGAATTCATACATTGTACCAAGCCAAGGCAAATTTACTTGTAGGTTTAATAGATTATTTATTGATTAAAATTTACAGGTTTAATAGATGATTTCTCATGGTGATTATTCATTTTGGTTCTTTAAGCATTTTAGTTGCTGGCATGAATACATACTTTGGAAACAAATCAAGAGACACATTTTCTCCCAAGAAAGTAAAAGTGCATGTGTATTTTGGCAGTGCTAAAAATATTCTTTGAAAAAAGAAGTAGTAAATGTGTGTTACATTGAATTGAAAGTTGGACATTACGGCTGAAAACAGATTTAGAAAGTCATGGGCAGGATTTTGCATTTTAAACTGACTAGCTGATTCATTTTTTTTCAGGTTAAATGGTAATCAGTATGTGGTAGATAAAAAGTTGTGAGATGATACCAAGATTTGTTTTGTTTGTTTGTTTGTTTGTTTTAATGTTGACAGTGAAGGGTTCTGTTTATTTGGCAGAGTTTTTGATCAGGTTATTTTTTTCACGTTAGCATCCCTGTTTGGTGCAATATAAAGCATGCTTTAGGCTGTTCTTTAGCTTAATGCCCCATGTATCATATTTGGTACCTTTTATCAATATAATGAGAAATAAATAAGGACAAGAGGGGGGGAAAACAACACCCAAGGTGTAGAAATTAGCAGTAATGAAATTAGAAATTTAACTGGCAACTCAGCATGCAGTTAAAGGTGAAATGAAAAATAATTATACCCTTGTGCAAGGTTCTGTGTTTCTTGTGCAACAGCTGGCGTAACTAGCAGTACAGGGACCTGCATACATTTTAGGTATTAGTGGTACATTTAACTTGTGATAAAGATCCCTGAGCTCAGATCTTAGCAGTTAAATAAAGGAGAAACTGGGATTTGTTTGTTTTAATTAGAACTTTATTTATTTGTAATTCATAAATATACATCTGACATTCTTTAACAGGTTTGGGGTAAAATCCTGACCCCACATGGAAGTTCATGGTAGTTTTGTTATTGCCTTCACTGGGGCCAAGATTTCACCCTTCAAACATCTCCTGATTTTCCTAATAAAAATTTCAGTAGCCTCCATTTGAATTTTTCATTTTGTATTTGAGGTTTTTTTTTTTTTTTTTTTTTTACTGGCTTCCATTGTGTTATTTTTATTAAAGGGGTTTAATAACTCCATTCATTTGATAAAATCAACATAGGTGTGTGTGTGTGTGTGTGTGTGTGTGTGTGTGTGTCTTGTTTTTGAGCTTTTATAATGCATTGTATTCTGCCTCTGTTGCCAACCAG